TCTGCCTTACTTGAAGAATCATGAAACAAGCATAGCCGAAACAACCAATTGTGACCAATACCGCGCCTTTGATGGCGCTATGAATATCGGTCCCGGCTGTGTTATGTGCAGAGACTCCTTTGGTCCAAAAGAGTTCAAGAACTGGACCTTTGACAAGGGTCATGATCATGGCTCCTCCAACTGTAGCCAATGTCCCGATTATCTTACCCGCACTCCTGATGCACCGTAGGTTCACTCTTTCGAGCCCAAAAATGTAGGCAAGGACGAAAGTGATCGCGGGTAGGACGTTATACATGGCTGTTGCAAATGTAGCCGTTGTGTATTTCATCCCAATATAGTATAAGTTCTGATCAATCACTGGCCTATTATTACAAAATACATGAAAAAGAAAATTAATCAGATTCAAGTGAAAACACAGAGTTGTGTGAGGGAAAAACAGAGAAATGTGTGAAGAAAAATGGAATATTACTCGAGTAAACCAAGGAGTGTTATCTTGAAGAATATCATCATTGTCATCTTTGGTCTCACTTTCCTGTTTTTTTTTAACATCATAACCATTAAATTACATTAGAACGAGTTACCATTATTTTTCCATTCATAAAAACAACATTCTCAACCCTTCTTTTGTTATCAGGGACTTGTGCTTATTTGAGATCAGTTAGATTCATAATGAATTTGAAAACTGAAAATTTATTAAATTATAGTATATAGTATTCATAACTGAACTTAGAATCTTTCATTTTAAATCGGTTATTAATTTGTGTAAAAAATACTGGATTACAATCATAATTATTGAAGCATTACCACTTTTTGATTAAACATTAAAAGTTTGCGCTAGTGTATCTGTTTTTGTAAAGAGAAACACTAAAAAATATAAACTACTCACATTCAATGCATGAAATTGACATTGACAGAAGCCACAGAAAACCAAATATTAAACCGTTACAAGTCTTTTGTCTTTTAAGATATGAGTGACCTATTCTTATCATGTATTACGTCACAAGTCTAATTCTTTCTTTTTGCTGCTTTCATCCTTTCAACACACTAAACGTCCATGCACACAACCCACACAAGAAAAAAAACAA